CTAAGCTTATTGTAACAATCAAAATTTTAATTTTAGCAAAAAAAAAGCACTTATTGTAAAGCAATCATTGTCTCACATTAAGAAATATTACACTTTTTAGATTAAATTTTTGGAGTTTGGAGTTGCTTTCTGAAAACTTTGTTCCTGCTACTTCAATTTAATCTTGTCGGAATTTACTTATCAACATTTAATTTTGCATATTGTGTATCGAATAAAGCCTCTGTTTGGAGCAGATTCTTAATTTAATCTTAACTTATTCTTCATTCCAAGTTACTTACCTTTTCTTTCTTTATTTTATTTAGTTACTATATACATACACTTTTGTTTATTAATATTTTAGCAAGCATGAACTTTATAATTACTTAGTGTATGTTTAGCGTTTTTAACATGCCGACTAAATATTTCGAGTATGAAATGTGAGGATCGTCGTACTGACGATACTTCATTATTTTGTAATAATTATTAAAATAAGAGAAACTATATTTAAATCTGAATTTTCTGATTTGAACGATAGAAATTTACAGTGAAAGCAGTAACATTGTGATACTGGTTTCTCCTCAAAGAGGAGAAGTTGTATCTTTCTGTGGATAATTTGAAAACTGATTTTAAAATATAGTAAAAGTGTTTTTTCAATTTACTTAGGAATTATAAATTTTAAAAACCGTTTTTTTAAACTTATGAATAGTTACTCGAAAGCGAGCGTTTGTAAGTTTAAAATACGAATTCGAACACGTGAAAGCTGACAGAATTTTTAGATTAAAATGTCTATTTAAAAAATAATTTTTTAGGAAAAAATTAATTAATTTTCCAAAAAGGATTTTTAAGCTATAATACACACATGCAAAAGCGGCCGAATAGATTATAGAGCTGAAATCTGGTGTCTTAAACGCGAAAGAGAGAGTCACCGTTAATTTAATTTTTTTGCACAAGAAAATATCTTCCTATTATGATTATAAAACACGACTTAACGAGTACAATAGGTACACGTGAATCGAGTTCTAGCCTCCCGTTCTTATTAATTAGAAAAACAACTTATTTTCCCCTTTTGCAAACAAAACACCTTTTCATCACCTTAGATACACATTGTTCTCTATGTGTACAACAATTTTTATACTATGACTGATATTTCTATGCAGTTGCGAACCTATCACATTATGAGCATTTAAAGTTAGGAACACACTTTTTCCCGTCAAGTACCTTCTTCTCGGCTTTAATTTCTTCGCTCTTTATATAACACTCCGCCTTTGTGACCACCTCTGCTAATGAAGACCCTGGCCTTTGGGAAAAAAGACTCATTAATGTACCCTACTTTAAAGCAATTCTAAAATACTCGTACAAACATTTCATGGTCCGGGTGGACATATTTTATCATGGCTTTATTGTAAAGGACAAGGTATTCCATCAGTGATTATGACAGACCTTGTTTAATTTTATAAAGCTTGGTGGTGGGCATTATTAAATATCAACTTGCTGTGAAATGGTTCATAAGTTTCTTCACCAGATCCTGGTAGCTGGAAATGGATGATCGGGGTAGGCACATATACCATCGTAGGTTCACGTCTTTAAAAGTTCCAGACATAAGCTTGGATTTTAGAGGATTGGACACTCTGATAATGGTCATTTTTGTATTGATGGAGACGACATACTCATAAGTGTTGCTATGGCCATTGAAATTCGCCAAGGAAGAAGGCTTAAAACCTTCAGGGACTGGTGCTTCTCATATTTCATCTGAGAGAGGCTAGGGATCTTGAATTTCCACCTCATATGTGGGGGTAGCCTCTTGGTGCGCTGTTTGATGTGAAAAATGTTATCCTCTAAAGTTTTTTTTTACGATGCAGTTTGCCCAATGTTGTGCGTATCTTTTCCATGGTATATGAATCGTTGTTGCCTCCAGTATCCTCTCATGTAGGAAATTATGCCCTCCTAACAACCATGATTGAGAAAGGTTAAGACTATGAGCGGTAACTTTGGTGGTTGTTAAGGTGGTGGTCCAGATTAGTTTCATAAATGTCTAACGGTAGAATCCATTGTACTTTCTAAAAAAAGACATATGCGTAGCAACCCTTACCAAGTACAGATTGTCATAGTCTATAGTATTTCTATGGGGTCCGAGCAAGCTCACAAGGGTGAGAGCTCTATTTTAGGAATGTTTTTTTTATGAGTGTATGATTGTCTCCCTCAACCCTTAAATAGGCTTATGGGCAAGTATTTACGGGCTCCTAAGAAGTAGTAATCATCACACCTTGACCATAAAGCTCGTTGGCTGCCTACTTCTTAGTAATCATAACCATGACTTCTTCTAAACATAGTCATATATTCTATATACACATCATCATCCTCTCTTTCCTATCAGAGCAAGCTATTTAGTGAGTGAAAATCATGCTTAGGCGACACACTATAAGGAGAGCACTTAATAGGGCAAGTACATGCGTCACCCTATGCGGGTCTTTCATAAATATGTTACTACACCAAACAATCTCTTCATCCAATTCCCAAAATGTAAAGTTTGTCTTCATCTAAGAAATAAGTGGTCTCTAGTTTCAACATCCTAATTGCAGAGAAACTACCTTGAAACAATGTGTATTCCCCTTCGAATCATGTTTTCTTTTATTACAATAACATTATGCATTAGCTACCAAGTCGCTAATGACTTGGCAGGTGATATCTTGGGTTTCCAAATGAGTTTTTTTTTCAAAAAATCTCAATGTGATTCCTCCTGATACATTTGTAGGTATCTTTGAAAGATAGATCAACATTTACAAATCTTGTCAAAATGAATTTTCCAAACAATAGTATTATCAAATGACAAGTTAACCTTTAAAATGTCTTCAACAATTTGAGGAGTCAAAATGGATAAGCCACGAGGAATGTTTCAATTGATGTTATGGATAATTGAATATCCACTAGCAATACTAGGTGTAAATCTTTAATTTTGTATCACTACCAATTTTTAGTCCATAAATCAATATTTTCGTATTACCAACCTTCAAGCCACTATGTTCCTCCATAAAGGAAAGTGAATGATTTATATCAGGCCATATAGAAGAAGAACTATGATGCATGATAGGTTTTTGGTGCATGAAGTATCTAGTAGTTAAGCATAAAGACCATTGATTATTGATAGTCAACAACTTCCAACAAAGAGAAAAACAATCATCTTTGTTTAGTGCCTTAATATCTCTAAACCAATACCTTCTCTAGACAAAGGTGAGAAAATAATCTTTCAAGATGTAGTAATTAACTTTCTAGCTTGTTAGAAAAGATTAATTGGCCATTCATAAATCATAAGACTATACATAAGCATGTCTTGTATGACTAACTGGACCATTTGAACTCTACCCATCATAAAAAGAAGGTGGCTTTTCCAAGTAGCTAATTTGAAAAAATATTATATATGATATGATCTGAAGATGACAAGTTCTAGAATTGTCTTTGAATATTAGAACTCCAAGATACTTAAATGGTGTCTATCCCATAGCGAATCCAAGCATATATGCAATATGCCTCAGTCTAGATCCAAAAATACCTCCACCATAAAGCTAAAATTTATTTGAACTGATGTGTTGACCAAAATTATAACCATATTTTTGAAGAGCAAGGGAGACAAAGAATCTTCTTACCGGACTCCTCTAAAGTAAGAAAAAAATCCTACAACTTTCAAATTTATCATGATTGATAATTTGGATGAGTGTAGAATGGTAAGAATTCAATTATAAAACTTTTGATTAAAATTAAATTGAATATGAATGTTATTGAGATATTGACAATCTAAAATATCAAATATTTTTCTGATGTCTATCTTTAAAGTCATACTATCTCTAAAACATTTTTTGTCCAACATATCAATGACTTCTAAAATAATCTCAACGCATTCATAAATATGTTTTTCCTATTAATTTTAAAAACAAAGATGACCAACCTATCTGTCAATCGATCTTTAAATTTCTTCATTAATTTTAATTTTATTTGTATGAATTTATCTTTTTGAGTACTCCTAAAATAAAAAGCAAACCACTGTAAGAAGTTCTAAAAAATTACATATCAATCCATTAATCTACCACAATATTCCTTTAATTGGTACTTTCAAGTTTCAACCAAACACTTCACCTAAGCTTGTGGCTTCGTGGGAAACTACTTTTCATTGTTATCATTAAAAAATGCTAAAACGACTAGTTAAGTATCCACCTACCTCAACTTAATTATTTTCCCACTGAAATTGACATTTTCATATTTTTTTACAATAAAATAATTCAACATTGGAAAAACTTTTTTAATTTGTTTAAATAAAATAAAGGAGAATAAGAGCGTGTGCATGTTTGTGAGAGAAAAAAAAAAGTAAAAGTTGAGAACGCCACTCAGTTTTAGTGGGTCCAGCTAGCTATAGTACATGTTACTGGAATTATATTAGGACAAGCAAGTGTGTGCCATATATATAGTTAAATCTTTCAAAATCTCCACAGAGACACGTAATAATACAATAATTTGTAACCTAATGTTTTCTTTATTAAAATAACACTTGGAATTGGAACTTGTACAAAATATATGTAATAGACAAAAGACTGGAAAAGAAAAAAGAAAAATGTTGAATATATTAAAACCCAATTTCTCCAAGGTGCTTAAGGCCGAGAGGATATCCTGAGTTTAAACTCAATATATAATGAGTTTAATTGTTATATATCGATTGTAAAGTAATTTACACGGTTATTTAATAGAAATTTATTAATCTGTTATGTTATACCGTTAATTAAAAATTATACTATAATTTAAATGGAATATACGAAGGTGATTAATTAACAGTATAAAATTATTAGATTAGTGCATATCAATTAAATTTATATATAATACAATCCTTCAAATTTTTTTCCAGAGATTATGTAATTTATTAACTTATTTTTTTAAGCAGAATTCCTCACTAATATCATGAAAATAACCAAAAACAAAGAAAAATATGGCTATTTGATTATCCACTAAACAAGTTAAGTTGAATTAATAATAATGAATCAATCTTGATTCCTCAATTGACTGTAAAACCTTTTTATGAAATCTTCCGCTGCTTTATCTACTTGATTGTCCTTCTCATCATCATCATCTCTTAAAGGGAAATCTGGAGACACTTCTACAATCGCTTGATCATTGTTAAGCATCTCCAACACTGCCTTCATTTCATTCATAGTCGTCACCTCATTGTCATGTGTAGGTGGCGCTTGAGTATTGTGATTGCGGTTGTGGATGTGGCGACGCTTCCCTATTGAGAAGAAGTGGTTGGGAGTGTTGCTACAGCTGAACTCGTACTCCCTTGAGGAAGTGAATTGGTGGCGTGAGTCGTGGGAGAGGCTGTTTGAGATGGAGCCACCATGGCTGGGATGGTGGGATATTAAATTGGCAACGGCTTTTCCTGCAAATTTGGTGTGGCGTTTGAGTATGATGTTTAAGTTCATCATTAGTTTACCCTTTGATATTCCTTTTCTCGTCATGACGAAGGCAGCACGTACAAGACTCCATACTCTCTTTGATATCACTGCTACATTATTTTCCATTTTTATATAAGCTGTTTTTATTTTTGGAATAATTTAAAAGAGTGATTTTGAGAAAGAGAGATTGAAAGTGAGAGAGATATGAAGAGATGGATTTGATTTGAGGACAAGAGGGAGGGGGGTGATGAGGTTATTTATAGTTGGAGGAAAGCAAAAAGAAGAAAAGAAGAAATGAATACTGAATCCAGCAGATGGAAATTGAATAAACCGTGGGTGGATACTTTATGTCAATAATATTTTGTTATATTTTAATCAAACATATTGGAGGAAACCTATATATACTTTTTGAACAAGGACAAAACGAGTGCTTTTACTTTACTTGGTCGAAAATAAACATCAACCAAAGCCATAATTGCCAGATGTGCAGCTAGCAATGCATTTTCTTACTTACTAATGCAATCTAACATGTGAGTTTGGGGAACTCTAAATTATTTTAAAATTAGAGTTTAGGTTCTTTAAATTATTTTAAAATATAAAGTTAGTTTTTAAATTTTTCTTTCAACAGTTTGGTCTTTTTTTTAAAATCATCGTTATAATAAATTATAAACTTATATACTATTTGAATTGATTTTTCGCGTTGATCACAAATATGTAATTAGTTTTGTGTTTGATTGTCTATTTTGGTCAAATCGATGATTTTTCCTTTTGTATTTCGTCAATTTTTATATGATTTTCATGAACCGTAATTTGTTTGATAAATTTGATTATATATACGTGATTACTGCGAAAAATCAGTTCAAATAATATATGAGTATGCAATTTATTATAACGGAGATTTTTAAAAAAGATAAAAACGTTAAAAAAAATTTAAAAGAATTAATTTAATATTTTAAAATAACTTAGAGGATTAAAACAATAATTTCACCAAAAAAATAAAATAAAAAATTAAGTATTTAATGTTTTAAGAAATTTTCCTAGTGCGTATTAAAAGTGGTGTACCACATATATTAACTATGTGTAGTAGAGATACATTGTATGTGTAAAAGCAATTAGACAACTCTAGATGAATGTGTGTATGTATTGTGTACATCAATATAAATACATGTACAACGTCATTGTGAAACTTAACTAATTAAGCAAAATTCGATGAAGTTAATATTTCATTATATGTATGGATATATGGTCCTCATTAGATGCCTGCTCTAGAAGTTATCAAGTGCGGCCTCCACTCAGTAGGTGTCTTAGTTTATAATTGTACATGTAAGAAGTTCTGGTTAAAATTCTTTAAGAATTAAGCAGTCAACAACTTTATCAGTTAAAGTGACAGTAACGACTTTCTAGAGTTCTCAAATTCAAGTCCATGGCCTCTTTAAATATGTCATCCTTAACATTGAGAATTATATTACGAGTTTATCAAGAAATACCACAAAAACACAAAGCTCCTCACACTCGTAAGTTTGCTCTCACAGTTAAAAAAAACACTTTAAAACAGAACTTCTCAACATCGTGAGCTTGCTCTAAAGCCACCACAAATTCTAAAACATTTAGTCACCTCTACTCGCATAGGGGTTTCCCACATCTATAATTCTTTTAGCAATTACAATGACGCTCGACTTAGAGCAGGTGGCAAATAAAATAAAAAATTCGGGGAAAGCTAATGTAAAAATTGATTCATAATTATTTTGAATTCGCGCACGATTTGGATATGATTTTGTAAAGTATTAAAGAAAAAATATGCAGAATTTTTAGAGAAGCAAATTTTAGCAAATTTTAGAGACTTGAATGGCCACACAGATTTTAGGAGTAAGGGTTGAAGGATTTTCTCAAGTGAAGACCAATTTCCATCTCCAAATTCATGAATCTTTCTTCTAACTATTGGCTATGAATAGTTTGATTATGAGTAACTATATTTTTTTAGATTAGGCTTTTTAGATAAATTTATTTTGATCTATTTAAAATATGTAATTGATCAAGTACTATTTTATATAATTGCAATTCTAGTATAGTTCAGTTAAATTTATTCTTATTATATTGTCTTTAGTATTTTGACAAATGTATGAATTGAATACATGTTTGAATCATTATTGACCCTAACTTTTAAAATATGATTTAATTTAATTGTTCAAATTTAATATTTATTTGGGAATAAATAATTATAATTTTGTGATAAAGGTATTAACGTGTGATAAAGTCTGATTTGATTTTGAATTCACCAAAGGAATTAGTGGATTGTTATTAAATGATATGATTATATACCTACGAATTGGATATAACTATTTTACTAATTTACTATGACACTAGAGGAACAATTTTAGGGAATAGACGCAATTACCAAATTGTGATAAATAAAGGATTCGAGAAAGGTCTAATCGTTTTTAATCTCTGATAACTTCCATCTTTTTATTTTTTTATGTTACTGTTGTGAATCGGATGTCTTGAAATAGAATATAAACGATTTTTTTATAGTCAAGAAACACACAAGGGTTAGGGTTAACAAAGAAAAGAAGGTAAAATAACAAGGATTGGTTATAAATTGCTATTCTTTTCATTCTCTTAGCACTAAGCCAAAAATGATTTTTGGCAGCACAGTAAAGGCAGCGCTTTCACTACAAGAAAAAAGGAGATTTACGACACTTGAGTTGCGACAGTTATCACAAAACCGTCTTTATTCCTAGATGGCGAAGGTTGTCACGACAGTTAGGGTAAACTGTCGTAGATTTTTTGCGGCAGTTATCAAAAAATCGTTCTTATTCCTGGACTACGACAGTTTTCAAGACGGTTGGAGCCAACCGTCGCAAATTATTTACGCATGTTGTATAAAATAATGCGATAGTTACTAAAGAACCGTCCTCTTTCCGCACTCGCGACAGTTAAGGCGAACTGTCGCAATTACTTTAGTCAATCATAATCACTATTTTTTTTATTCCTTTAATTTTCCACTTTTTTCTTCATTTTTATTTTCTAACCTTTTCAATTTTATTAATTAAGTTAATAAATAATTATTATAATTATTATAATTTTCATGACAATGTAGCTTAATAGTAATAAATTAAACTTAAAATACATAAAAATTAACATATTATATATACTTAAAATAAAAATTTAATTTTAAAAACAATTTTTATAGTAAAAATTAAATTCAAAATATTATATCCAAAATTAAATTATTAAAATTAAACTATATATCAAAATTTTATAAACTCAAAATTTTAAAAACAATTTTTATAGTAAAAATTAAACATAAAATTAGAGTATATATACTCATAATATAAAAATAAACAAAACATTTCAATCAACATCCATTTATTAAAGAGAAATATAAAAAATTAATTAAAATAAAACTGTATTATGTCAATTGTGATATCCATCAGTTTCTTCCAAAATTTCGTCTTTTTCCCGCTAAAATTGAAAACTGATTCTCCTTTTTATGTGTATTTTTCTCTTCTTTTTCAGAAATCTCCGTTCATGCCCTTGAAGAGGGACACAAACTTTTTTCTCAGTCACTCACGTCGTCATTGCGAATCACCGTCAAAGCAATCACCATCGATTCGAATCTTAACAGGTTTGTCTTCTCAAACCCTAAATTACTTTTCAAACCTTGAATCGGATCCTGGTTTGAAACCTTGTATGTTGTTAATTTAATGGTTTTGTCCTGAGTTCGTATCAGACTCGGTTTTGTTTCCGGTGATCGTGTCTGGCTGCGGCGGTTACTTTCTCTATTGTGCTTGTTGTTTGACTTAGAGTATTTTGCTTGTTTAGGAGTTTAAACTTGTAGCTTGATTTTTGATACATTGTTTATAATTCAGAACATGCTTCATACTAGTAATTTAAATCGAAATATCGGGTTGTGTGATTTTAGACTAGATCTTCTATAGAATATTTTGAGAAAGATATAATTGTTCCTAGTAGCCAAATTAGTGCAGAGATAGAAAAATGGTAGAGTGAGAATCATTTATTTCAACTACATCACAGTGTTGTAATTCACAAGCCAAAATAGTCTTTACAAATTCATACAACTTCCTTAATTCATTTCATCATTTAATCTATGTTGCTCTTTTGAGAATCATATGCGAGAGCAACCAATTTCTTCTGATTGCGACGAAAATGATATCTCAAGAAACAACTCTCATAGTAGTAATAGAATCTTAATATCTTGAGAAAAAGAACCTCGATTGATCTATGAAACCTCTTTGGCGGAAGAAATAATGGCTTTCTTGGTCTGATGTGAAGCCACTGCATACGACTGTGTCCGGCGATTTGTCTGACTGGGAATTCGCCGATGAAGGCGATATGTTCATGACCGGCGGAGAGCCCACGCCAGGAGTGGTGTTCGGCGATGTCCCTACCTTTAAGGAAGCTACCGCAGAATTGAAGGAAGCTATTGATCAAATTTACCTTTCATCTGGTAATTCTCAATGTGAGGGTTCATCTCCTGGTAGTCAACTCTCTGTTATTTCTCCTCCTGCTAATGAAACTGGGACAAAGTCTTGTCTTGTTGAGGCTATTTCAAGTCCTTTAGTGCCTAAGCATGCCATTCATGCTTTTCAATTGCTCAGCACAAGTCCTGAGGCCCAGACTGTGGTGCAATCTATTGCTTGTGACCCTAATATATGGAATGTTGTCATGAAAAACCCTGTTGTCACTAGTTTCTTCGAATCACAGCTAGCGGCGGTAGAGTCATCAAATGATGCTGCTTATGCTGCTGTTGCTGGTTCTGAAACTGTAGAAACTTCTAAAAAAGAGGAGGGAAATGCTTTTGATTTTATGACTGTTCTGCAGAATTTGAAGCTTACAGTTACTGAAATGGTTAGCAGAATGTCCAATTTCTTTCAGAACATATTCCTAACAGCTGAGAAAGACAAATCTTCAACTGATGGTGGTGGAGCCAATTTCATGGATTATAAAAATTTGATTGGAAGAAGTTTCATGGGATTGGCAGTTATGGTAATAATGGTTGTACTGATGAAGAGAGTCTAAACATTCTTCACTAGACAATTATTATCTTTCGAATTTTCTTGTCAGTTTTAAATGCTTGTATATGTGAAATACATTTGGAGCAGCAGGTTCGCAGTGCATCTCTAGTCTATCTGCAAGTATGACAAAGATCTAAACACTAAGCCAGGCAATGGACAATGAGGACTCCAATTACAAAAATGTTGCTAACCTGTGTGATTCAAAAATTTCAAGAATAAATAAATTGGAATAATGATCAAAAATAAAAATAGGAAAACAACAAACCTCCTCAACAAGTTTACATGGATAATCCTCAATCTATTGAATCGAACAAAGCTGACTTATTGAGCGTGACATGGATGAAGGTTCCAAAGAGTAATCAACTTGGTGTTCAGAACAAAGATGGTTTGTTCCACAAATCACTGGATTTCGTGATCAGGACGTTGTAAGTTTGACAAGTTTACATGGTTGGTGATGTTTACATGGTTGGTGATGTTTACATGAACTGACTAATGTAATGAAATTGATATTTCCTCACGATGTATTGCATTTTTTTCTGATGGATCTATCATCCTTACTTGTTATACGTGAGAAACTTTGTTTTGGAGTAAAAATATTTGACTTTGTGTTCTGTACAACATAGATGCATCACAAGAACAGGTACATAGATATTTTCTGCAAGTGATACCAACACATATCACTCCCCCAAGAACTTCATTTAATACCATTTGTTCTGTATTTGGAAATGCACTAGCTTTCCTTGTACTCTTAGAATATTTTTTTTCTTGGGGGGTTGGGGTAGGTGGTGTTGGGTTGGCTTCTCAAACAAGAACTGCGCCAATTTCTTGCTTTCTTGTTTTGCCAACCAAATGTATTCTTTATCTTCATAGCAAAGCTGGTTTGATGGAGTTGTACTACTAATGGATGTTCTTATTCTTCTATTTCCATTTCAGGTAATATGTTGGCTTTCATGGTTGGTTCTAAGCAAGCTTTTAAGGTGCCTTTAGCAGATGTCTCTCAAACAAACCTTCAAGGGAAAAATGATATGATCTTGGAGTTTCATGTGGATGACACAACTGGAGCCAATGAGGTATATAAATATATAGTCTTATGAGTTTTAACAAATACAGTTCATAACAGCTGCTTACAAAAAACCTTTATCCATATTGAACTTGACTGTATTGTGGGATGGGGTTAACCGATTCAATTTGGGTGTGCATTTTTTTATAGTCTAATATTATTCATATGATATCAGAAAGATTCATTGATAGAGATAAGTTCCATAGATGGCTAAGGCCTCCAGCTCAAAATTCATAGCTTGAATCCAATTTTAATCAATGCATGCTTCCTCGTAAGATTTTGGCTTATGATCAAGTGTAATAGACGGGCTAAAAGATCTGTGACTAGGAGATAAAAACTTAAAAGAATGATAATAGAAAATGGGATAGTGTAAAACTAAAGATGATGACATGGACTGGTTGTTTGAAGCATTGCACACATAATCCTTTAGATAAGCAGGTGGATGTCTGCTCCTTTTGGTGTTGGTGGAGCTGTCAAGTTGAGGAACTGTGGCAGGCTGAGTTAATTGTGTGTTATGATTATGATCTTTATGAGAAATATTATTAAATTATGGAGAGCCAAGGTTGAGGTTTGGATCAGTTTCAGAGGTTAAAGGTATATGGGTTGTGTCATTTTGACTATTTTGAGGTTGTTGGCTAGAATAGTATTTCCAATCAAGGTTAAAAGGAAAAATATGTTCATGGTGAGTTACATTCCTAGATGTGAAAATGGCATGGTTATGAATATCTAATAAGATCACTCCTTTGGTACCTTGCTTGAATCCCAAGAAAATGCATTTTCTTCCTCTAGGATCAAGTTTGGTCCTTCCTGATTGGAGGGTGGCAACATATGTTAAAGAACCAAAAACTTGTAGTGCTTGAATATCAGGGTCTTTATTGAATAACAAAGAAAACAGAGACTTGTTGTTTAAGATAGGGCTAGGAATTCTATTTATGATGTATACATCAGGTGTAACTGCATATGACCAAAATTATAATTATATACTTATACAATTTAATTCATATTTTTTATAAATATATTACTAAAATATATTAATATTTTAAAAAGTGTATACTTTTTAAAATAAAAGTGTATATTTTTTAAATAAAAGTGTATATTAATATATAACAAAACTATATTACAATTTATATACTTTCTAAAAAGTGCATACTACTAAATATATTACAAAAAATATATTTTTATGATTTAAATCATACTTTCTAAATAAAAAGTGTATATTAATATATAATCTATTCTTTTATAAAAATATATAATATGTTTCTTAACTAATTTTATAAATATTCTTTTATAAAAATATTTAATATATATTTAATATTTTCAAAATAAACATATACTTTTTTCTTACAAATTTACATATTTTCTAAATATATATTAAATATAATCTGATTTTTATAAGATTCAATAGATATTTTCTATAAATATATTACATATTTTATAAATAATATTAAAATACAATTTGTTTTTTAAACAATATTTTCTATAAATATATTACTAAAATATTTGTATATATATATATATATATATATATATATATATATATATATATATATATATATATATATATATATATATATATATATATATATATATATATATATATATATATATATATATATATATGTATATATATATATATGTATATATATATATATGTATATATATATATATATATATATATATATATATATATATATATATATATATATGTATATGTATGTGTATATATATATATATGTATATGTATGTGTGGATATATATATATATATATATATATATATATATATATATATATATATATATATATATATATATATATATATATATATATATATATATATATATAAAAGCAACAAAAACATATCTATACTATTTTTTTTCAATTTTATTCTAACAAATATTTTACAAATATTATAATATAAATCCTAAAAATTTAAGAAATTCAACACCTTCATATAAATATATTTATACATGCAACACAGAAAATAAAAAAGTTAATTAGTAAACGTAAATTATAAATTCATAAAAATTATAGTAAAACAATAATATTTACCTAATTTTAGATTGGTAGAATATTTGAAAGAAGAAGAAATGGGATGTTTGATGGAAGTTGTTTTTACTGAAAAAATGAGAGAAGAAGAAGAACGGCTAATGAGAAGAAAATGAGTGTGTGTGTGTGTGTGTGTGTGTGTGTGTGAGAGAGAGAGAGAGAGAGAGAGCAGAAAAATGAGAGTAGAAAAATGAGAGAGAGAATAACGTGTCTGAGAAAGAAGAAACCTGCATTTATGATATGCAACTGGCAAGGGGCTGCCCTTAGCTAAATAGTGGATATAATTAGTGAGGGGTTGCCCCTAGCAAATGATGACGTGTTGCATGCACATTTCTGTCATTTAGCCATGTAGCAGGCTTTAACAGGTATAATAAATGTTTTTTATGACAGATTTGACTTAACCATAACAAGTGGTGAGGGACTGCCCCTAGCTAAATGAATAAATATAATTAGTGAGGGGTTATCCCCTCGCAAATGACAATATTTGCCAACACATTTTGGTGCTATTGTTTTTGTGAGGGGTGACCCCTAACAGTTTCCAATTTCAAAATTCAAAATTTTGTTCTCCCATATTTGCGAAGGGTTGCCCCACATGTTTGATTTATATAAATTTTTTTTTAATATTTTGTGCATTGCGAGGGATTTAACCCCCCAATCAATGTTGTTTTTTAGTGAGGGGGTTTACCCCTAGCAAAATCCCCTAGTTATACAAAGTTTTTCTTGTAGTGTACAGATAGTTAAGTTAATTATAATCAAATAACAAACTAACTAACTTCCTATAACAAACTTTCCTAGAATAGTATATGATTTAAGCATCATTTACAAGTGATTTTAACACATTTCTTCACAATTTCGGTCTTTTATTGTTATTTTTAATCTTGTATCTCTTTTCAAATGTTTCTAATTTTTTAATGTATAATCTAAATTTATATAGTTAAATTAGTTATGTATTTTGTAAGAGTTAAATAAAATATTTAATGTCATAGTTTACTAGCACAATATATATTTTATTTTAAGCAAACAATTATTTTTATTTGAGATTATATGATATGTTCATTTTATGAAAAAAAATTTCAAATGCCAAATATTTTTTCGTTTTATTCTCCATCTCATAAATCCCTTTTTTTATCATATTTAATACAATTAAATTTATATGATTATCGTTAAAAGTTCTACATCAAATAATATATGGTATAAACACGTTTTTATAAGTAGTGATAGTTTTCACCATACTAACTAATTTTATAGGGATGAGATAGACTTAACCATAATTTCTTAACAGTTGTGTTGTTTATTTTATTTTAAATTTATATATAAATATAAATATATTTTATATCATATTTCTTAACAGTTGTGTTGTTTATTTTATTTTAAGTTTATATATAAATATAAATATATTTTATATTATATCAAATAAATTTATCTGTAACCATTTACTATTTAATTGGTACTTTCAAGTTTCAACCAAACACTTCACCTAAGCTTGTGACTTTGTGGGCTGCCACTTTTCATTATTGTCATTCAACAAGCTAAAACGGCTAGCTAGGTATCCACCTACCTCAACTTAATTATTTTTCCACTGAATTTGACATTTTCATTTTTTTTTTTACAATCATAATAATTCAACAACATTGGAAAAACTTTTTTAATTAGTTTAAATAAATAAAAGGAGAATAAGAGAGAGTGCATGTGTGGGGGAGAAAAATAAGTAAAAGTTAAGAACGCCACAAAATTTTAGAGGGTCCAGTTAGTGGAATGATATTAGGACAAGCAAGTGTGTGCCATATATAGCTAAATTATTGTTAAGCAGCAGTTAAATTAAACATCTGCAAGCGCATAGTTATCATGAATCAAAAACCCTCACTAATATCATGAAAATAACAAAAACAAAGAAAAA